GTATGAATTCTATTCAGCAGATTATATATTATTTTTTACTTGTTTTATCGCTTATAATCACATTTTATGTTTAATTTCACTATGTAATAATGGCTAATTTCCTCTAAATAAAATAAAAAATATTTTTGATTCTTAATGATTTGCATTGAACATATTAGTATATATTTCTTTAATTTTTTTTGTTTTGAATCTTATTTTAAAAAATATATATTAAATTTTTTCTTTTGTACTTGTATTATTTATCTTTATCTTATTCTTTATCTTAATATTAAAATTTCTCAGCCTATTTACTTTATTATTATAATTTTGATATATTAGTTTTTAATGTGTTCAATGAATATTAATGCTGCTTAGTTAAGTTAATGATAATGATAATAAATTTATAATATTATTCTTTTATTATTTGACATATTACATTATAATAAAAAGTTTATATGTGTGTTTTTCTCTTACAAATATATTTATAAAACTTATATATTCAATTTTAAATTCCAGGACTTGATTGAGAATCACTTTTGAAATAAAGAGATATATTTTAATTTTAGCATATGCAAGATATTTGATGTTTTTTTTTTTTAATTTTTTTAAAATTTTCAAAATCTAAAGGATTTTTTTTGCTATCAAAAGTACGAATATTGATTTCATAAACACATAAGTTAAAGATATAAAACAAATCATTATAGTGATTATATATATGTTGTGATTATACGTTTTATATATATCATATATAAAATAAATCAACTTTTATATCAAAAATTATATAATATATATATACTTTTTCATTTGTTAAAAATTATTAAAACTCCTAACTTTATAATGTTTTGCGTTTATTTTTTATTCTTTTAAATATTATAAATTATTATAATTTATTCTTTTAAATTATCTTTATTTTTGCAACATTCTTTAGCTGTGATTTATGCAATCTGCATTTATGAAATCTACCTCGTTTTACAAACTAAATGCATTTTTATTTTTATATTCTTCTTTTTAATTCTGTTACATTTCTTCTATTTTGATATTAAATTTTTTTTGTGCATTGAAGTTGTAGGTTCTCCTATACTTTTAAAATTATTTATTATAGCTGGCAAGTAAAATTGCAAAATCTTTATCATAAATCATTGTCTATAATTTTCTCAGCAAATTTTTTTATTTTTTGTTTTTGTATAATATCTTCTAGTTTTATTATATGTATTGCTATTATTTGCTAAATTTTTGATACTGATAAACCATTTTTTCTGTAGCATATGAATTTTGATTTCTGAAGATCAATTTATTATAATATAATATTTCTTGATAAGAAATTTTTATGGGAATACTGCTGTTATTCCTGTTTTTGTCTTTAAAATATTTATCACGGGAATGTAAAATAATGTAATAGATCAATTATGTCTTTATATTTTTCTTATATTATTGGTTTCTTATTTGCATATATATAATCTCTTTTCAGATAGAAAAAATAATGAATTTTGATTTCAAAATCCATTGATTTTTATAAAACATTTTATCTGGAACTATCAACTAAATTTTTAATAATTTACTATTTTTTGTTCTTCTTATTATTGTTTGTTCCAATTCTTTTTTGAAAAATAATTTTTTGATAATTTCACAATAAATTTACATTTTGTAGTATTCTTCTGATAGATATATAAATAATGCATGTTTTTATTTCTATTATTATGAAATCTTCATCGACAGAAAGAAATAGCTGGTTACTAAAATTTATGATTATCTCAATATTGTTTTAATTGAATAATTTTGAGCTAGTTAATGCTTATTTAATATTATTATTTTGTCCAAAACAAGTATCATTATATATTATTATATAATTATGTGTTGTAATATTTTTAATATATTCTATGACAATAAATTGTAAATTAAACGAAAATGCGAAGTACTTTTTTGAATTTTTTCTTATCTTCTTTTCATTATTTTTCAAACATTTTCTGTTATTCAGCTTTTATTAGGTATAAATCATTTTCTTTTAAGTTTTATTTTTATTATTAGTTGTTTTTTTGGATTTTCATTTTTAAATTATATTTTTATATTATTAAGTAATAGATGAAAATATAAATTAAATTCTATATTATACGATATTTTTCCATATATCCATATATATGTATGTGTGTATATGTATATGTCCTTTTATTTTTTTTTTTCTATATATTTTTTGATAAAAATGTTATATATTTTTTAAATATTTAAATCGAGATTTTTATAGTTTTTAAGAAACATAATAATTTTTAAATGTTGGAAAATTTAAAATATATTTATTTTATTGCTTAAATTATATTTGATTTTGTGAAATGATTTTTCCTATCATTTTTAATTATTCTTATTAATTTTGAGTATAGATTAAATATTCATCAGATATTTTAAAAATATCTAAAAAATATTCTTTACGTACATACATATTAATTGAATTAATACTAGAATAATATTTATAACTATATGTTTTTTTATCTCTTTTATAATTTTTAAGCTTCTTTTGTTTGATGGATTATTTATGAATTATTTTGTTTATAAATCAATTTATATAAAAAATTATATAAAAATTTATATTATTTATATTATATATATATAAATTATATAATATATAATATTATATATAAATTTATATTATATTTATATAAAAATATTTTGTTCTTTAAAGTCTTTCAATTTCTAAAAATTTTCAAAATTAATCTTTTATTCAATGCAAATTAATAAATATGTTTTTTGAAAACAATTTTAGTGCTATATTTTTTATTATTTTTATTTTTCTTTCTCTTTATTTTTATTTCAATACTTTGAGCATAGTTTTATGTTTTTTTTCTCATTTCTTTATTTGTTATATTATTATCATTATCTATAATTGAATTTTAATCTGATTCTTCTGACATTATTGGCCTTATTTCTATTTTTATATTCAAAAAAATTTCAATTATTTCCATTTTTTTATTAAATTATTTTTAAGTCTGTGAAATAAATAAATTATCTTAATCTAAACATAAATTCAATAAATACATTATTATAATGAATTTGTGTTATATTATTTATATTATTAATATTAAATTTATAAATAAATATATCATACTTCTATATAAAGTTAACTCAATTATTATAATTAAATTGTATTGTATATTATTAAAATTATTAAAAATTGTCTACTTTTGTTTTTCATTTTCAAATAAGTTCAACTTTTCATAATATTGGATTTATTCTATTCTTTATATGTATAAAGGATTATTGGATTATAGTACATATAGTAATATAAATATATATATTATTTTTTTATTATATATTTATATATTTGTACTAATTTTTTATATATTTCAATATATATCATATTTGTATTAATCTCATATATTTATATAGATATTCTATTAGAGACAATAATATATGAACATAGAATATGTAAAATTGCAAAGATAATAAGTTTCTGAATCAATAAAATTAAAATATAAATTTTATGTTTATTCATGAATATATTATAATATATTTTAATAATGTTTTTTATTTGTAGAATAAATTCCTTATTAAGTGAAGTATCTTTAACTGTAAATGATTATTTTTACTTCTATATTTATGCAAAATTATTATTTTTCTTTTTGTAATTAATAATATCATTATTGTATATTTCATTAATACTAATGTATTTTGTCAGTTTTTTTTCTTACGTTAATAATTCATTCATTCAGCAAAGAGAGAATATGAAACAGGACATGACATCATTTAAATTATGAATATACAATTTCTTGAATAGAATAGTTCAAGAAAAAATTTTGAAGAATAGGAATAACATGAAATTGAAAAACTTAATTAAAAACTTTATAAAAACAAACTTAAAATAAAACCACTTTTTTGAATTGAATTATATGATATTTTTTTTTTCATTTGATACATTAACATCATGATAAAAAATTTATATATGTGCTTTCCTTTAAAATTTATTTATAAAACTTGTATATTTGATTATTAAATTTCATTATGAGAATTGCTTTTGAAATAAAGAGATGTATTTTAATTTTAGTACATTTAAGATTTTTTTTTTCTATCAAAATTTTCAAAATCTGAAGGATTTTCTTTGCTGTCAAAAGTATGAATATTGATTTCAAATAACTGGTATTCATAAACACATTCATAAGTTAAAGATATAAAACAAATCATTATAGTATATCATATAACTTTTATATCAAAAAATTATATAATATTTACATTTTCATTAAAAATTATTAAAACCTCACTTTATAATGTTTCACATTTGATTTATTCTTTTAATTTAGAAAAATTATCTTTATTTTTGCAACATTTTCTAGCTATAATTTATGCAATTTGTATCTTTATGCATTTGTGAAATCTGTGTCGTTTTATAAACTAAATATGAATGCATTTTTATTATATTCTTCTTTTTAATTCTATATCTTTTTTATTGACAATTTTGATATTAAATTTTTTTTGTGCATTTTTTTTTCAAATTGTAGATTCTCATATATTTATAAAATAATTATAGCTGGCAAGTAAAATTAACAAAATCTTTATCATAATTAAATCATTCTCTATAATTTTGTCAGCAAATTTTCTTATTTCTTGTTTATGTATAATATCTTGCCTAATTAAAACAAATTTAAAACCAAACCATTTTTAATTTAAATTGAATTAGAATCAAATTAAAAATTGTAATATTAACATTAATCTAAGTTTTATATTTTAATAAGAAAAATAAATAATTGTAAATAATTTTTTTACATATTTTAATTTTAATTTAATCATTTTATTTTGAAAAAACAAAATTTAAAATTTTTTTGTAGCATCATCATTTATGGTCACGAGATTTGTTCTGTATTTGAAAATAATTTAATTAGATATCCCTTTGATATCTATCATAATTACAAATTTTAATCAGCGCCAAATGGATGATAGGTTATGAATTAAAATGTAATTTAATCTATTTTTGGTTCAAAGATTCAAAATTTGGTACAAGATTTGATACTAAAATTGATCCATAATAACAATAGATAGATATACTTTTATAGTCAAACTTTATAGAGATTTGATTTTAGTGCCATAATCAAATTCTTTACTAGGACATTATAAGATAGGCTAAATAAAATTCATTTGCAAATATTTGATAGATTTATGAACACTTTCATTCATTTTAACCTATTTCACGGTAAGAAATTATTATAACATATAAATAATCTCTAAATAATAAATTGTTTACTAAGAATGAAAAATAAATTAATACTGTTATTAAATTTTATTGTTGTATAATTGCTATAATGTTAAGTTTAGCTTAGAACATTAGATCTTAAATTAATAAATCTTTTAAATTAAAAGTTTTATTTTATAAATTTATAAATTCAATTATAATATATATAAAAATTAAATTTCAGTGTATTTTAAAGATTATGAAATTAAAACATTATTATTATTCTATATTTGAATTATGTTTATATTTTTATTATATTAAAATATTTTGAATTTTTTATCTTTAGCATTGTTTAAAACAATGAATAATTATCGCGATCCTTTTGGTTTTACTAAGCAAACAGCCACTTTATTACGTGGTTTGAATGCATCTGAATTGATATCAGAATGTAAAAAAAGAAATATATCAACTGATGTGTTACATGAGCTAAGTGTACAAGAATTAATTATGTTAGGTAAAAATTAAAAATTTTTTGTTACATCTTTATTAAGTAATGAAATTTAAAAAAAAATTTTCATTCATTTTTTCTAAATGAAAGATTCAAAATTTATTATCTATAATTATATGTGTATAATTATATTTTATATTTTTATATCTAATATAAATATATTTTATATCTAATCTAAAAAATTTGAATGTAGGCCTTAATTCTAAAAAAGCAGAAGAATTACAAAATATTTTAAATATTCAAAAAAAGAAGATCCAATATTGTAATAACAAATGTTAAAGACAGGTGAAAATTATTTTATTATATTTTTCTAAAAACTATTTTTTTGTAAAGATCAATGAAATTAATTAACTTAATGATTAATTAAGTTAATTTTATTAAAAAAATTAAAAATTTATTGGAAAATTATTTTTTTAGGATTGAACATTTTCTTCAAATAATTAAGCATGGAGAACAACAATTTTCTTTAATACAAGCTCTTATAGCATATTGTCGATTAAGATTGATGAAAGAAAAAATTAATATTTTTGTTGATCTTAATAAATGTTTGAGTGCTTCTAATGTATTACCTATTTCTATTGATGCAACATTAACAGAATTAGAAAAAGCAGAGAAAAATCTTTTTGAACTTGAAAAACTAATTTTAAGGGTATGTCTTAAGTTGACAATATACATTTTAATAAAGTAATTTTTTTCTATGACATTTATGTAATAATAAATATTTTAATTTATTTTTACAGTCAGAGATAAAACCAAAACATAATAATATGCAGCAAATTTGTACTTTTATTAGTGTGTTAGGATTAGTAACATTTGTGTTATTTAAGATATATATAACTTAAACATTATGATATAAGTTCAATTTACAAAAAACAATAAATTATTTGTTATTATTTTTAAATCTTTTTTAATATTTGCTTCTAAAATAAAAATGTTTTTTTATTATAATGTTAATGTTTTCTATAGTTTCAAACGATATTAAGTAATAAAATAATAAAAATAAATATACAATAAAAAATTAAAAATATTAATAGCATGAAGATTAAATTAAGAAAAAGATAATCGATTTTATTACGAGCATATCAAATTCTCAATTGATGCTGTTTTTCAAATCGATTATTATTTTTATTAAATAGTAAATAATTTTAATAGTAATAAATAGTATTATATTAAATGTATTACTTATTGCAAATAAATTTGAATAAATTTTAATCTTTGTGTTTTGCAATTATTTCTATAAAGAATTCTATTCCAGTTTTATCAAATTAATTTTATACTTAATGATTATTAAGAATTAAATGAAAACTTAGTAATACAATTTATATACATAACTGTGCTAATATATATATTAATGTAAATTCGTGTTAATCAAATTAAATGAATAATTTTGTGATTGAATTAAATTTTACGATTCGAATCGAAAAGGATCGAATTCTCGATTAATTTACGTTCCATCCACCCGAAGCGCTCTTGTGAAAGGATCCACCCTAAAAATCGAGTAGTGGAGGTAGAAAAGAGAATTTTCTCTCAGCGCATGCGCGCTTCCATTAGCTTTGAGCTTTCAAATTTCAGCTCAGTCGCAATAAGATGGACGGTGGAGCGTACGGTGGAGGAAAGGCAGGAGCCCCTTTCGATCCTATTGCCTTCATTCAAAGGCCTCAAGTTATTCTGAAAGCTATATGTTTGGTAAGTTTTTTCCTTGAATATATAATACTTCGATTTTTATTTCTATTGACGTCTTTCTAAATTAAAACATATGTCGATTTTATGCGACGAACATTGATTTTAAAGAGCAAACCACCCCCACCAGTTTGACACAATGGGGTTCTATTGATTTTTCGCAAATTCTTGCGATAGACCCCATAATAGAAAGAATATATAATTCTATATAATTTTCTAATGATTTTTGAATATATCTTAACTTTTCTGTCATTAAAATGAAAAATTAAAAAATAATTCAAATAAAATCTTTTAATTATCATAAAGTAAATTTTAGATCATGAAAATATTACATGATTTTTGAAGCAATTTAAAATTAAAATACTAATTACTTATGAGACATATTAGAAAGTATTTAGAGATGGATTTATTTAGATATAGATATGGAAAGTTTGAGTGGCAAGAAGAAGAGTGACAACGAATGTAAGATATCGATATCGGTATGAACAAAGAGCGTAGATATAAAATGTTTAAATCTCACTCCGTGAACATTTTTAATAAAACTTGCAAGAGAGTTAATAATACAAAAATGAACAAAAAAATAGATACTTTGATAAATTAAGTAATTAATTCATAAATAGATACAGATTGAATAAAAAATGATATAATCGTATATAAGTTAAATTTATAATTATGACTCGAAATATAAAAAAGAAGAAAAGTTATGTCAATTGATATTTCATAATAAAAATAATTAATAATTATATAATTCTGATCTTTGAAAAAACAGAAGTAACTTATAATTTCATATATTTTTCAAATAATTTTTTATAATATTTAAAAAATAAATCATATTATTTGATAATTTAATGAGAAATAAATTTTTTTATTAATTTAAGGAATTTCATTATTTTTATAGTATATTATCCAGTTTATTAATACTAAGAATTAAAATAAAAGATAATTAAGAATTGTAAATATTGTTAAGTAAATTATTTAAACTAAATTGAAAAATTAAAAAATTAGCGATTTAAAGAATTTTAATGTCAAGTAACTTGAAATTATAAATTTTAGTAAGAATATTAATATCATTTTAATATTTTATTATATATATATCATTTTCCCTATGTGTATCTTAAAATGCTATTTTATTTATTTTCGTATTGTACGGTATTGTATTGTATTTTTTTATGTTGGTTTATTTTTAATTAAAATCTCAAAAATTTTTTTATTTTAATTAAAATTTATTATTATTAATTATTAATTTAATTTTCAATTTAGCTTTATTTAAAGTATTTTAATTAATGAAATAATAATTAATTTATGAAATATTTTTATAAATTATTATATAATTTAAGTAATTTATAAAGTATTAATAATTAAGTAATTTATAATTTACAAAATATTTTATATTGCGATTGTAATAAAAAAAATAAATAAAAATTTCTTTTTTTTTCAATTATTTAATTTTGTAATTATGATGTTTTTTTTTGCATCTTCTTAACTTATTTCTATCTCAAGACAGATCCGAACGAAATTGAAATTAATTGCGATTTTATATAAACAGATACGTAAAAAAAATATAAAAAAAATGTCATGAAAAATCAAATGAAAGATTAGTTTTAACGCGAAAATTTTATTTTCAATACAAAAAAAAAATTTTCGCTAAACTCAAATATTTAATTTTTTAATTAAATATTGTATTGTATTGGTACCGATTTTATTATTTATTAAATACACTGATATATAAATTTTTGATTAATTTTTGTAAAATTGCGATTTCAATCATAAATATGTAGCAAATATGATAAAAGTATTATATGACGTAAATTATAATTTAAAAAATAAATAAAAAAAAAAGTTCAATTATATTAAGTAATTCTAGTTAATATTATTATAAAAAAATAATATTCATTAAAAAATTATATATTAATTGTAAATATTAATTATAAATATAATTGATAATAATATCAAAAAATCATAATATATCATAAATGAAAATCAATCCATATGTTAATTGGTTAATAAATTATTTCATCATAAACATAAATAATCATAAATAAATTACTTATTATTTAAAATTCATTACTTTGTTTTATAATTTATAATTCTTTAATTTTAAATTCTTTATTTTCTATTTTTTCTTTTTTTTTTTTTTGCATACAAATTATTTCAAAATAGATTTTTTTTTTTTTGCTTACATATGATATATTAATAAATTAAAAAAAATGATATATGTAATAACAAATTATTTAATAAAAAATAATATAATATGATTTAAAAAAATATTTTTAAAATATTATTCTACAATAAAAGTTCTATAAAATTTTAAAAAATTTAAGAAAATGAAGATTTTTTTGTAGAATATAAAAAATTAATTTTATTAATTATTTTATAAATAAAATTAATAAATTAAAAAAATTTTTAAAGAAAAACAAAAATATTTATAACAATAAATGTATATAAGATAATTCTAATAATTGAGCTATAATTCTGTTCCAAATAAAATTAAAAAAAATTATAGAGGAAAATGTTGCGCAATTTAACATAATTTATCATTATAATAATTCAATTATAGAATCAATCTGCATATCATATTATATAGTATATTTAAATATATATAAAAAATATAATATAATTTTTATTAAAAATAATTTGAATTAGATGTTATAAAAATTATTATTTAATTTTAATTTTTTAGCTCTTTGCGATAATTGTATTTGGATGCATAAGCAACAAAGGATATATAAAAAAGGAAGGCGGAAAAGAGGTATGTCTTTATAATGAAGATCACAATGCTTGCAATTATGGAATAGGAATTGGAGTGCTTGCCTTCCTCGCCAGTATCGGATTCCTTGCTGGCGAATATCTTTTTGAGCAGATGTCTTCTGTTAAGACCAGAAAACATTTTGTTTTACTTGATTTAGGTATGTATTCTTATTCTAAACTATAAC